TTTTCTATGCATTTTCTATGCATTTTCTATGCATTTTCTATGCATTTTCTTTGCATTTTCTATACATTTTCTATGCATTTTCTATACATTTTCTATGCATTTTGTATACATTTTCTATACATTTTCTTTGCATTTTCTATGCATTTTCTATGCATTTTCTATACATTTTCTATGCATTTTCTATGCATTTTCTATGCATTTTCTATGCATTTTCTATGCATTTTCTATGCATTTTCTATGCATTTCCTATGCATTTTCTATACATTTTCTATGCATTTTCTATGCATTTTCTTTGCATTTTCTATGCATTTCCTATGCATTTTCTATGCATTTTCTATGCATTTTCTATACATTTTCTATGCATTTTCTATGCATTTCTATGCATTTTCTATGCATTTTCTATGGATTTTCTATGCATTTTCTATGCATTTTCTATGCATTTTCTATGCATTTCCTATGCATTTTCTATACATTTTCTATGCATTTTCTATGCATTTTCTTTGCATTTTCTATGCATTTCCTATGCATTTTCTATGCATTTTCTATGCATTTTCTATACATTTTCTATGCATTTTCTATGCATTTCTATGCATTTTCTATGCATTTTCTATGGATTTTCTATGCATTTTCTATGCATTTTCTATGCATTTTCTATGCATTTCCTATGCATTTTCTATACATTTTCTATGCATTTTCTATGCATTTTCTTTGCATTTTCTATGCATTTCCTATGCATTTTCTATGCATTTTCTATGCATTTTCTATACATTTTCTATGCATTTTCTATGCATTTCTATGCATTTTCTATGCATTTTCTATGGATTTTCTATGCATTTTCTATGCATTTTCTATGCATTTCCTATGCATTTTCTATGCATTTTCTATGCATTTCCTATGCATTTCCTATGCATTTTCTATGCATTTTCTATGTATTTTCTATGCATTTTCTATGCATGTTCTATACATTTTCCATTTTCTTTGCATTTCCTATGCATTTTCTATGCATTTTCTATACATTTTCTATACATTTTCCAAGGAATTTCTCTGGTTTTCTATGCATTTTCTTTGCATTTTCTGTGCATTTTCTTTGCATTTCTATGCATTTTCTATGGATTTCCTATGCATTTCCTATGCATTTTCTATGCATTTGCTATACATTTTCTATGAATTTTCTATGGAATTTCTGTGCATTTTCTATGCATTTCCTATGCATTTTCTACGCTTTTTCTATGCATTTTCTATACATGCGGAGTGCACGCAAACGCGCAACTAAGAGGGATTTGATGGAACGCATAAACATAATGTCGTTTGGGGTGGTATTGTTGAAGTCTCTAATGCTGCCCTTGTTTACAATTGCCTGTTTGAGGATGAAGGTGCATGTTGGCTCTAGAGGGGACCATGGGGCTGATGTTTTGGACGGGGTGCGGTTGCATTCCTCCAGTTCAACTTGGTGCGGTTGCATTCGAGTTGTGTTTGTTTGCCTCTTGTTTTCCTCTTGATTTTGCCTTGTGCATTCCTTGCTCCTCCGGTGGGAGCTAGGGGCCATGGACAGTGAGACCGATATGTCAGATGGTGAGATCAATCAGGCCGGGCTTTCTTCATTAGAGCTATGGCGCATGTTGCCGCGGGGCGTGCAAACTGCATTTGGATCTGACGGCGCACTATTGCCGGATGATGCCATGGCATACCTTTTTGATACAGAAGAGGAATTGGTCTCTTTGTTGCGGTCAATACTTGGTGAGGGTGCAGAAGGGTTGCTGCAAGCGCGTGCAATAATGCTGGATTTGCAATCGCGTGCAGAGCGGACGATCCATTGCCTCCACAAGCGGCGGGCATTGGTCCCTTCGGAGGTAAAATGGCTGTCGGTATTCAATGAAGCAAAGCGCCAGTGTGTGGTGGCAAGCGGCGTGGTGCAAACGGTGCCGGGCCTGGCAGCATGTGGGGCCCTGCGGCGGCAGGGCCGGTACAAGACCCGCCGAGCCAGGGGCTTGGCGCGAGCTTCAGGAGAAGAATCTCGCCAGGCCGTGGAAGCACAAGAATTGATGCGTTGGCGTAAAGAGCTTGCGTCTTTGTGCTGCTTTACCCGTGGTTGAGCCCATGGCCTTGGTCCGTGACCGAGACGCAGTGCTGCTTGGTGCGTTGGGCCCGGCTAGAGCGAGCACCATTCGCAAGCATGTCAGAGAGTGGCGGAAAGCTCGCGCATTTTGCTTGTCAGTATCTGGAAAGCCGTGGCCCGAACACATTGGCGTCGTTTTGGATTACCTGCATGAAAGGCGGTTGGAACCGTGTGCCCGCAGTGTGCCAGCAGCTTTTCTAGCAGCCTTGTCGTTCATTGAAAAGGTCGGTGCAGTCCGGCGCACAGAGCGTTTGTCTGAAGCTTCTTTGTTGCGAAACACGGTCAACCAGCTGACTGCTGACTTGGAAAGCAAGGCGCCACCCAAGCGACAAGCGCCCATGTTGCCGCTGTCTATCATAGGGGCGACAGAATTGGCTGTCAGTGATAACTCTTTGCCGACTTATACACGTGGGTTTGCCTTTTACAAATTGTTGAAGCTTTGGACTGCCAGCCGCACAAATGATTTATTTGGCTTGAGCCCTGACTCATTGCGCTTGTCAGAGCATGGCCTTCAGGGCACATTGGACCGCACCAAGTGCAGCGGTCCCGGGAAGAGGATCCGTTTTTTACCTATCTTCATCAGCCGCCGCGTCTTCATAATGAACCCAAATTGGCTGGTGGACGGCTGGGCCATTTGGCAGCAAGAGAGCATGGGGTTTCAGCGCGACTACTTTTTGCCGCTGCCTAGGGCAGACCACTCTGGTGCGAGGCGCAGCTTGGCCGACTATGCGCGCACAATAGCATTGAACAAAGAATTCCTCAGCCAATTGCGTGTGCCTATGTGGACGGGTGAAGTTTGGGCCTCGTCGTCTGATTATCTCTTTTCCTTGCGTGATACTTTGGCCTTTTGGACGGAGCATTCGGAGCGGAACTGGCTCATTTCAGTGCTGGCTAGCATTGGAGTGCCGCGTGAAAAACGTGAGTTCATTGGCCGGTGGCGTGCAATTTCGGCTTCTGACGAATATCTGCGAACTGCTAAAACTATGGTAATTTCCCTTCAGGAACAAGCTTTGGCAGGCATGATGCGTGATGAGCGGTGGAATCTGCAAAATGGTGGCTTAGAAGATTTGCCTGAATTTTTGATAGCGCGTGGTGTCCACCAGTGTGTAGCAGCATCACAAAAGGACTTGCTACAGCTACCCCGACAGTGGCATCGGGGGCCGCTGCCACCAGCCCCTGAGGAGGAGGTGCCAGCACTGAGACCTGCCATTCCTTCTTCATTGGAACAGGACCGCGAGGGTGTTGATTCGCCTTATTTCATTGCCATTGTAGGGAAGAAACGTTTGCGCCGCTTGCATCGTCGTGGAGGCTGTGGCACTGACCCGGCTGAGTTGCATGAGGTTGAATGGGTGGAGACTCTTCAAGGCGCGGTGTATGATTATTCCTGTAAACATTGCTGGCGCAAGGAGGCCTGCCCGACAGTTATACATGCTTGCGAAGCAAGTTCTTCCAGCAGCGAAAGCTCCAGCTCGAACTCTTCTAGCAGTAGCTAGCTGGTGTGTGACCCCCGCGCGTGCGTTTCTCTAGGGTGGAAAAAAAAAACTAAAGGGAGGTATCCCTTGCGGTTGGCTTGCTGTCCCAGGTTAGTGTCAGGGTATCTACACTTTGGGCCAGCGTCAAAATCGTGTCAACCAGCGATTCCAATTTCTCTTAGAGATTGTGCATGCTGAAATAGGTTTGGGTTAGTCGTTGCCCTTGCAAACAAGAAACAAACCTGTGATCACATTTATAAACATACCCATTTTCCCGATGGCTACGGCTCAGAGTGCAGTCAGTGTCTGGCGTTAACATATTCCGGTGCGTTCACACGTTTCCAGCTGGGATCCAAGGCCGGAGTGTGATGGAGGTGTTGGTGTTGCTTTTTTTTTTAAGTCAGAAAAGGCGTTAGGCCTGCATAAGAAGGGTGGAGCCCTGGTAAGGGAGCCACGGTCCTTTTCGTTTCAGCCGCCTAGTTTGGGGGCTGTGGTAAGGTGATAATTTTTCCCTGTGTCTTCTCGTGACTCCTGTCTTGCCCTGGCAGGTGACTTTCAACCATGTCGACCCCTACGGAAGAGGAGCTGTTCAAGTCAGTTGAGTCAGAGTTGAAATTTCTTATAGACGAAGCGAGTGTGTCTCGCGACATTCAAAAACTGGTCTACAGCAAAGGTTTCACCAGTGTGCGTGTTTTTGCGGGCATTGAAGAATCCAAAGGCGAAGTGCGAAAAATGTTGGCCTCGCTGTTGCCCTTGGACTACGCGGCCAGTGCGGAGAATTGCAAACACATGGCCCTCCTGCTGTCCACTTGGGACGCGGCACGCTTGCAGCTTTCCATCCATGAGAAAAACAAGGCAGATTCTAAGTTGGGTGTGCAAGCCCGGCTGGTGCAATCCACGGAACAGGCATCCATGACAGCGGCTGTGGAACCATGGCATGGAAGACTGTCCGACAGCGAGCTCCCGAGCAAATCGCTGCTGGCAGCAAAGCTGGAGCAAGTGGAGGAGAATGCTCCTTACCCTGAAGATTTGCGTGATGTGACCAGTGTGGAGGATGCAGCCACTGAAGCCTATGACGCCATCATAGACCCAGCATCGTCAGTTTTGAAGATCAAGCCTGGTCGCACGATGACCACGCCCCCAAAAACACCTGAGGAATTGAGGCGTCGACATCGGCGGATTGGCTTGGCCTGGGAGATGGTCCGCTCCAAGCACATGAACCGGTCTTGGCTTCCTGAGCGCTGCACAGATGCGTTCCGCAAGCTGAGTGATCACGTTCTTGGTCCTCGGGTTGCAGATTTGCGTTCAGGTGATGGCAGAGCGCCTGCCTGGAGTTTGGTTTTGCAATATGAAGCGGAGCTCCGAAAGCATGCCTACAAATTTGTCCGTGATGGCGAGGCGGCCGATTTGGCTTCAGCCCTCACCATGGCTTGCAAAGCCCCGGACATCATGAACAATTTCTTCATTGTCCCCTTCACTATGCAGGTTCGTGCACCCGCCTTGGAGGTTGAGAGTGTGGTAGCAGGTTCTTCCGGAGGAGGAAAAGGTAAGGGCAAAGGTGCAGGAAAAAATGGCATTCTCAAAAGCATTTCAAAGAAAAGTCAGACCGGTCGCAAGAATGTTTGCTTTGCTTACAATCGCAAGAAAGGTTGTGAGAGGCCGGCCTGCCCCTATGCGCACATTTGCCAGCGTTGCAGCGAACAGCACCCATATCACAAGTGTCCCAAAGTGCAGCGTTCGGATGAATGACTATCGGTTGATGAAATGCCCTTATGTGTTGCAGCTCCAAGCAGCGATGAACCGAGTGTGTGCGCTGGTGGACAGGATGCTCTGCACGTGCCGGGAGGGTCGGCATCCTTGGGCAAAGGAGGCCTTGGGAATCCTCTCCCGAGAGGGTGTGGCCACGTGGGCGGAGGAGGCCCGCAAGTGCCCCCTCTCCGAGGGTGTGGACCCGATCCCCCTCGTGGCAAATCGGCAACCGCCCCTGCATCGCTTGCAGAAGGGGCCAGGGTTTCGTGCAGGGGCGAAGAAGAGGAAGCATCTTCAGATGAGGATGAAGATGGCTTTCAAAAACCGCAGCTGGGCGCAGGCCTTTGGGGGCATGGACCACCCTTGGCCGCCAGAATGCTTGGCAAGCACAAAAGTTTCACAGACGGGCTGGGCTTGTGCTCGCCGGGTCGTTGGGCGCCTCAGCGGAGGCTGTGTGCAAGAGAATGCGCATCTTTAGGTTTTGCTGAGCAACTAGGGAGGGAGTACACGAAGCTATTGAATCAGAACCTAGATGTGCGTCAAGTAGCCTTGCAGCTAGCCCTAGGAAGACTGGAAAAGTCCCCTTTCTGCGATGAGCTGATACAGGAAGGCAGGGAACTACTCTTCTGCGCTCTAGAGCTTGTTGGCACCAAGTTGCCCGTGAGGAGCAGGCCGGAAGGGCAACCTTTCTTCTTGGCTGCGCTAGAGGAGCTGTTGAGAATCAGCGGTGACCCAGACTATCGGGCTTTCTACTCTTCCAGCGTTTCTTTTGCGCATGGTGTGCGTGTGGGCTTCAAATCAAAAACTCCTAGGGTGCCAGCAGTTTTCGATAGAAAAACAAGGTGGCGAAAATATGAGGAGGAAGAGTGTGATTGGCGATGCGACCGGGAGAACTATGTCTCGGCGCGGGATCACGCCGCCGTGGTGCAACGCCAATTTGAGGAAGAGGAAAAACTGGGCGCCATGTTGCAGTTAGACTTTGCAGAAGCTCAAGCTAGGTTTGGCGAGCAGCTAGCAGTTGCATCGCTCGGTGCAATAGAAAAGAAGAATGGTACGTTCCGGGTAGTTCATGACGGAACACATGGGGTTGGGATCAACCCGGGCATCAAGATACGCGATCAACTGAAATCACCTTGTGCTGGAGACATCAAAGCAGTGATGCAAGAACTACCAGGCTGCTATTTTGGTTTGACTGGAGATGTGGCGCGAGCACATCGACTAGTGAAGGTGGCGGAAGTAGATTGCGGGCTCATGGCCTGCAAAACTGGAACAAGCAGCCGAATTTGGGTGAACCGGGTCGGATCCTTTGGGATCAGTTCGGCTGCCTACCACTGGTCACGGCTAATGAGTGGTGTAGGGAGAGCGGTGTATTACGCACTTGGGAAGTCAGAGCTCTTCTTATTGGTTTATGTCGATGACCTCCTGTGGATGGTTCGTGAGGCAAAGGGTTTGGAACTCATCGTGATGTCTATCTTCTACTTAGAAGTTTTGGGCTTACCTTTTGCGTGGAAGAAGTTCAAGGGTGGCATAGATGTGGAGTGGGTCGGCTTCCAATTGTGCTTGAAAGGCGCGAGGCTGGGCTTGTCAGAGTTGCGCGCTCAATGGCTCATCAATTGGTTAACAGCAACCGCTCAGCGTGGCACAGTGAAGATTGCTGATCTTGCTTCTGTTGTTGGGCGCCTGTCCTTTGGTTTAACAGCGCTGGGGCATTTGAGGCCTTTCTTAGGGCCCATCTACGCATGGGTTGCCGCAATGAACGGCTTTGGAGAGTGTAAGGTCCCAAAGGCATTGGTCTTAATCTTCAGGTTCTTGGCGGCGGCGTTGGACGGCTCAGGCCGCTTGGCTAAGGTTGGAAGCAAGCGTGGCCATGTACGGGAACTTTTCCGTACAGACGCAAAGGCAGAAGGCAATCAGATTTGGCTGGGGGGCTGGGCTCTAGATCACTCTGACACAAAGCGTTGCCGCTGGTTTTCTGAGCAGTTAGACCATACCAACGCCCCCTGGTTGTTTGCTGCTGGTGAATGTTACAGGCAGATTGCATCATTAGAATTGCTAGCAACACTAGCAGCCGTGGTGACCTTTGGCATTCCTGAGTGCATTCGTGGTAGCGTGAGTTGCTCCGCGGGTACGGATAACCTTGGGAACACCATGGTCGTGGCGCGGTTGCTTACGACAAAATTTCCCTTGGCTTGCTTCTTGATGGAGTTGGCATTACAGCTGCAGAGGCAGGAGGCAGACCTGGAGTTATTCTGGCTGCCGCGGTTGCAAAATGAAGAAGCCGATGCATTGACGAACCAATGTTACATTGCCTTCGATCCAGCAAAGCGTTGCAGGTTCGACGTAGCAAAATTTGAAGGCATTGTTTTGAATCAGGCTTTGGCAGCAGGACAGGATCTTTATGAAGAAATAGGCCAAACAAGGGCCGGGCGTGAGCCGTTGGTGCAGCAGCGATCCAAGTGTCGCAGAACTGACGGCTTGAGGGTATCGGACCCGTGGGGCTAAAGAATTGCAGGGCCTATAGTGTGTGGTTACAAGTCTCGGGCGCCTTCTAGGTGGGGATGGTTTTCCTCGCCTCGACTAAAAATCCAGCTGGTTGATCCTGTGGGTGTCACAGGTGGGGACCGTGCATTGCTGGTGACCAGCTGGTTGATCCTGTGTGTACCACAGGTGGGGACCGGGCATAGCTGGTATAAAGTGTTGGCCCCGGGTTTGAGACTTGTGTTTTTATCCACCACTGAGAAAAAATGCGCCTTGCGTCTCAGGTAGGGGGGTTTTGGGCCTGTTGTGCTTCTTCCTGGCGATAGTTGAATGCTGGCAATTGTTGGAAAAGTGAAAGTTCCTAGAAATCCCGCGGAGTGCACGCAAACGTGCAACTAAGAGGGATTTGATGGAACGCATAAACATAATGTCGTTTGGGGTGGTATTGTTGAAGTCTCTAATGCTGCCCCTGTTTACAATTGCCTGTTTGAGGATGAAGGTGCATGTTGGCTCTAGAGGGGACCATGGGGCTGATGTTTTGGACGGGGTGCGGTTGCATTCCTCCAGTTCAACTTGGTGCGGTTGCATTCGAGTTGTGTTTGTTTGCCCCCACCCTCCCGCCCTGGTTTGGGGATGGTTTTCCTCGCCTCGACTAAAAATCCAGCTGGTTGATCCTGTGGGTGTCACAGGTGGGGACCGTGCATTGCTGGTGACCAGCTGGTTGATCCTGTGTGTACCACAGGTGGGGACCGGGCATAGCTGGTATAAAGTGTTGGCCCCGGGTTTGAGACTTGTGTTTTTATCCACCACTGAGAAAAAATGCGCCTTGCGTCTCAGGTAGGGGGGTTTTGGGCCTGTTGTGCTTCTTCCTGGCGGTAGTTGAATGCTGGCAATTGTTGGAAAAGTGAAAGTTCCTAGAAATCCCTTTCTATGCATTTCCTATGCATTTCCTTTGCATTTCCTATGCATTTTCTATGCATTTTCTATGCATTTTCTTTGCATTTTCTATGCATTTCCTATGCATTTTCCATTTTCTATGCATGTTCTATGCATTTCCTATGTATGTATGAAGAGTTGGGGTATTAACCAAACCAACAGACAAGCCACACTCTAAGTTGGATGTCCTTTCGGGGGAACACGTGCAGGCACCCAAAGTCCCACAGTTATTTTCATCAGGAAGTGCTCAAGAGAGCAACTCAAGGGCCCTTTGGCCAAGTTGAACCAATGGCAGCGTACAGCGGCATGTAGTTGTCACCTGGCCAGGGCTTGCAGCATAGTTTGACAGCGTCAAATTCACATTGGAGGAAAAGAGTTGGTCAAAAACAAGCAGCATCGCTTGCAACCTGTTGCTTCATTTCAGCTGTAAATGAATCTGTTCAGCCAGTAGTTGTTGGCACAAAAAGTTTCAGTCAGCTGTTGCACATGGAAAAATTGTATTGCTTCATCGGCAGGAAAATTCCAGTCTGCCGGGTATATGTAAAAAGTGTATTTTGCAAACTGTTGTATTGTAAGGTCACAGATGGGAACTGTTCCAATCCATCCATCGCGTTCGGATGGGAATTATTCCAGTCCATCCTTCATCCCAGATCTGTCAGCGCCAACCGTGCTGGTATTGATTCATCTCGGCGTTTTCCTTCGCACGTCTTTCTTCGCATTCCTTGCAGACATACATAGTCACCGGACGCGCTTGCATGAGAATTGAGCAATCATCGAAAAGGTGGAAGCGATTTGCCTTGTTGATGGCGTAGACCTCTCTGCGGAACTCGATCTCGTGGTCGTGGAGCTCGCGCATGTTTGCATTTGCTTGGTTTGCTCGATCCAATGAATCTTGAACTTGGTAAACCTGTCGTTCCAGTTCAATCACTTCTTGAATCTTTGCCGTCAAGGTTTGTTCAACATCTTGAAGTCGTACTTTGAGAGTCTTAGGTTCACTTAAGAACGTGTCGGCATCCTCTTTGTTTGTGTCGCTTGTATCTTTCATCACCTGTGCATAGCTTTCCAGTGTTTCGATCTCCCTTTTGAAGCTGTCTTCCAGTCTCGCCTTGTCTTCTTGTTCAAGGTGTAGCTGGTAGGACATGTGAGACATCTCCTCATACTCGATCTCGCATTGAACGCTCTTGTTGTGCTTGGCAAGGTGAAGGCCACGCGCTTTGGTTCCTGTTGGAGAATCTTCGGAAATCCAAGCAGCATCCAAACACAGAAACATCCAGTGAGGAAAGACATCACCATAGTCACAAATAGGCGCATTGCATCATCGGACCATGAAGCTTCATCAGAGGAAAAACCAGTGACCGGCATGATGTGAGAAATGAAAACCAAATGAGCTAAACCACCTACTTTGCTAGCAGCTTTTGAGAGGGCAAACTTGCGGGCATTTGCTTCCCTTTGTTGTTGAGTTTTCTTCTTTGCAGCAACAAAATCTTCGTCTGCTTGCAATTTGAACATGTGAGTTCTAAGGCGGTCAGTGAGCAATTGACGTGCTGAGGGTTTGGTCATTCCATCAGCATACTGTGCTTCACTTGAAACCCATCGCAAAAGTGTTTGGCACTCTTGCATCTTTTCTTTCACAATCATCACCTCAATCTTGGTTCGTTTGTCACCTGAAAGCTGGGGAACTTCTGCACGAATTGAATCGTACAGAGCTTTTGCATCAACCACCAAAGCTGTTTTGCTGATCACCCATTCACCGGGAGATTGCAGAGTGTAGTCAGCATTGAGACATCCTTGGATCAGTGTTCGGGTGTATTCCAAACTATCCATAGCAGCTGCGCATGCTTGAGATTCAGCGTTTAAAGAGCTTCGGGACACCCTGGGCAAACGAAAACTTCTCCAATCCAGAATGGTGTAATTTGTGGTTTCACCATCCAGGATTTCTTTCGGAGCAAGCATGAGAAGGTAACCACCTTGGCTGTGGCCTTCTCGTCGAATTCCCCATGAGGCATCGCTCATTGCAACCAAAACCATATTTGAAATCTGACCTAAAGGACGAAATTGGAGTCCAACATCGTTGTTGACCTTGGAGAATTTCAGAGCTTTGTTTGCATCACGCAAGTCTTCAGTTGTAGCAGCTGTGATCTGACCACTGAGGAGAGAAACTGTTGCACCAAGTTGAGGGGCAGTTTGAGTGCTGGGCCATTGAAGCGCACCAAGCACCGCTCGGAGAGCACTAACCTCATTCTGTGTGGCCATTGCAAAGTCTCGACGCTTCGGGTCGATGGTGATCGGCTTGATCTTGCTAAAGTAGTCAGGGTGTCCAAGTTGATAACCAAAGGAGGTTTTCACAAACGAACATCCACAAAAATCAAGCTTTTCACGTTCATCAATGTGAGTCCAGTGTTTGAAATTGAACTTTTCACGCAACAACTTCTTGGCTGAATTGTAGCAGGCGTTGTGAGGGTCGCCACTAATCAGCATGTCATCTACGTGTAATCCAACCAAACAACATAAATTTCCTTCACCATCATGCAGTCTGAACAAACAACCATCCAGCTTGTGCTGGGTGAATCCAACTGCTTCCAGTCGTCGTCTGGCGACTTCGTACCAGGCTCTTGGAGCATCTGCCTGGCCATAGATGGGCTTAAGGAGGCGCATCAAGGAGTTGGGCTTGATGTTCAGCAGCGTGCAGGCATCTCTGGGGAGTTTGCACCATAGTTCGCGGGCTTGTTGGTCTCCCTGCAGAAAGGCTGTAGCCACATCGGCACATAGAAACTCCCATTGGTTCAAAACACCAATGGACAGCAGTACCTGTCTTGACGTTCTGTTCAAGGTTGGAGAGCTTGTTTGTAGGCTACCAGACAGCAGGTCGGGATCGCAGTATCCCTGCAGCACAAGTCTAGCTTTGGCTTTTGTGCCACCTTTACCATCATCTGCCCATTTGAGAACAAAACGTGCTTTCAAAATGCGGCTTTCTGATGCTTTCTCAGGCTCAAGTTCAAGTTGCCAAACTCCATTCTCAAAAATTGATTGCAGCTCGGCCTTCTTTGCTGTCATGAAGGTGAGGCTGTCTTCAACTGTCATGCGGGATTCTTTCAAATCAGCCTCGTTGTCCTTCTTCTTTTTCAAAGGGCGAGTTGCAGCCATCCAGACTTCAGAGGGTGAGTTTTCCATGGAGCCGGAAGTGGACTTACTGATCTTCTTCTTGAGATTTATGTATGGCATCTTGAGCTTTTGGGCAGCTTCTTTGGTGAGAGGAAACAACGTTTTTCCAAAGAAACCATCCTTGCTAATCTTTCGCTCGGCAGCAGCAACAGAGTCAACCATCATAGTTGAGGCACCTTCACGCATTGTGATTTTCAGGGCTTGCAAGTCTCCCAACTTAATGGGGACATCTTTGATGGCATCGGCAGTTGGTCTCCATGAGGAGTCACGTGCAATGACATGATTTCGGACCAGGAAACCTTCTTCAACTGACCAAAAGTCTTGGGTTTTGCCAAGGACAAAGGAGTTGGAGACATCATAGGTCCAGCCATCAGGCAACATGTCACCTGCAAACTTGTTGTGCTCACCATTGGAACTGTAGAAACCAACTTCAACACTGTTGTAGATCCTTTGGCGTTTCTGCTCAGAATCATTCTTTGGTTCATCCAGGGGTCTTCTCTGACGCTGGAAGTTTCTGAGCCAGGCCATTTCTCCTTGATCCATGTTGCGGCGTCTTTGTTGGAAATTGGTGCTGCCACTGTCAGCAGGCAAAGTGTTAGCTGCTGCAGCTGGCTGGTCATCGTTGGCAGGCAAAGTGTTAACTGCCACGTTCTGACCATCTTCAACTTCAGAATCATCGCTTGGAACAGGAGGTAGATCTTCATCTGCCGGCATCTCATTCTGCGGAATTGCAGTGGTGTTGGCATCATTGTTGTTGGTGTTGGGCTCATCATTGTCGGCAAACACTGTCTCGGCAGGAGTTGTTGGAGCATAGGAAAATGGAGAGTCAGGAGGTTGTTCAAGTTGATCGATTTGGCGATCCATTTGCTCGATTGCGTCATGGAACTCATCAGCATCAGCTGGGCTGTCCAAGATCTCAACATCAGGTTCCGTTGCAGCATCATCAGCAATCGGTCCAGGAGATTCTGGTGGAGCTGGGTCATGCAGTTGAAGTTGATGTGGAGGAGTGCCATGTTTGCGCTGTTTGCGATTGTCGTCCAAGTCAAAGTCAGCATCATCTTCATCTAACTCATCAATTGACCTCTTGTTGGTTTTGTGAAGGTCAATCAGGCGGACAACTTGTCGCTGTCGTACTTGGCGCATGGCATCCACAGGAGAAGACATTCGACCTTCAGCATCAACTAAACGTTTCACATGGTGTTTTCCAGCTCGAATCAGCACTGTTCCATGAGCAAGCCAGTAAGTGTCAACATTGCCAGTGTCGGGTCAAGTTGAACTGCGACCACAACAGCAGGACCTTTCCACTTGATGGTGTGGAAGCGATCAGTTGACTCACGCCAGTAGAGGCATCTTTCACCAGCGACCAGCTCTTCATCTTGGCCACGATACTGACGCAACAAGGCTCTTCGCAATCGGACGTCAACATCAGCTTTGGCACATGCTTGTTGGGCTTGAGATCGGCACTTAAGGATCTCTTGAAGGTGTTGACCTTCAGACAGCTGTGGAGGCTTCGTGCGCTCTTCAGACATCAGTCCAGGAACAGCAGGCTGTCGACCCATTGCAAGTTGTGTGGGTGTAAAGCCGTTCACAAAGGTGTGCTCGTTGAGAGAGGGCACAACCCAGTTGAGAGCTTCATGCAAGGCATCCACTCCAGCGATCTCATTGTCATCCATGTAGATTTGAACAGCACGCCGTAGCAGTTGACGTCGTCTTTCAACAACGCTCGTTCTTGTATGAACTTGTCCAGGAGAAATCTTGAGCTCAATGTCATGGCTCTCTGCCCAGGTTGCAAATGCATCGGATCCCCATCCAGCATATTCATCAGCTTTGAGCTGTTGCATCGGACCATGGAACCTAATCCAGGAACGTTCCAACGCTTTGATCACTGAGGGGGACTTTTCATCGGACACAATGCGGGCAGCCATGTATCGAGTACATTCATCAACCATTGAAAGAATTGCCACACGTTTCTTCTTGTCAAGTTCAATCCACATTACATCAGCTTGAACCACTTGGTTGAAGTTCTCAGCACGTTCAACTGAGGCAGGGGACACACCCTTCTTGATGCCGTAGTTTTGGCAATGGGGGCAGTGCAGAGATTGGATTGCTTCTCTGACCTTCTCACTCACTTGTTTGCCTTCTAGCAACTTCAGCAGCACTTCTTTTCGAGGATGGCCCAAGTTTCTGTGAAGACGATGGGCAACTCGAGCTGCATGAGATCCATGCGCCGTAGCCAATTGTCGCAAAGTGCCGGCTTCAGCATCATCAACTGCATAGATCTGTTGAGTGAGATCCTCGTCATCCATGATGGCTTTCGCCAGATGTTTTGCCAAAACAACGCCATAGTTTTCAGCTTCTCGGCATCGTTGACCACCACCAGGCATGGAACCTTCTAGGGGGCAGTGGGTGTGATCACCTTGACATCGGCGATTCATGAGCTTGTACATGGACATCTTGGTTGTTTGGATTTTGAATACGTGTGGATTTCTTGATTGATTCCTGAAATCCATCATCATTGATTGTTGTGGCACCAAATTCACGCTGATCAAACAAGGCAGCATCGCCAGGAAGAGTGGAAAAGGCTTTGGTCTTCCAGGCACGGCTTCTCTCAGGATGCTCAATGTGAGCGTGTTGACCTGCTCGTACCTGTTTCCAGTAGGCCTTGTGACACATGGACAAGTGGGTTCCATGGTCAATCTCACGTCGTTCTTCCAAGTCAGCGGCATCAGCAGCACATTTGATGTTGATATTTTGCATTGGTGACCACAACGTGCACTTTGGGGACATGAAAATTTCATCAGGCTCATCGGTGTCGATCTTGTGGAGAAATGCTCTGCGGTGTGTGCTGAGTGAAAAATCCCAGCCTTCATTCAAACCAAAACGTTCAACATGAGCACCAAGCTTTGAGACTTCGGTCGAAAGGCAACCTGCTCCAACGTAGACTTCCCAAACAACGGGTGTTTTGGCTCGAGATCCATCTCTGGCCATGTGAATCATACCTGAGACTTGGTTGTGCACTTCAGCGGCTTGTTGATTGCACATGTTCTCAAGTTTCTTCACCGTGCATTCAGGCAAGGAAATTGCTTCTGGGAAATCATCATCATCGGCTTGGAGAATTTCATCACTCATGTTGGGTTCTTTGGCATTGGTTTGCATGAAGTTTTGCACCACCTGATCGTGATCATCATCTTCACTGATGAGGTCGAACTGCACATCCATGAGTTCTGAGCCATGTTTGACTCCATCAGCCAGTTTCACAAGCATTGCACCACCTTTTCCGCGGCGGATTTCTTGCCAGTCACCACCCAGTAGGCTCATCCTTTTACCACCAAAATCAACCACAGCATTCAGCATTTCCAGAATTGGGCGACCAAGCAGCATAGGAGTGGCACCGAAGATCACAAAACATTGAATGCGACCAACCTTGTCACCAAGCTTTGCAGGCAATTGCACCATCCAACGGCTGACACTTTCACCATCACCTCCAAACTTGAAGCTTTTGTCGCAACGTTTGAAGTGCAAGTGTTCCACATCCATGCCAATCAATTCCAGCCATTTCAGATACCTCAGCACGTATTCAGAACCAGCTAAAAATGTTGAAGCACCACCATCCTGTATGCAAGCATCAGGTTCTACGGTAACCCAACTATTGCTGTCAGAAATCACATGCTGAGCCATTCCAACGAAATTTGCACTGGAGTCAGCAGGACGCTTCTTGCTCGGTGAAGTGCTAGAGCTCTTGGTGGGGCAGTTGGCGGCCATGTGACCGAACATTCCACATCGCAAGCACATCATTGAGGACATATGTTCACCCCTTTCTTTGATACTTGACATACCCTTTTTGGGGGAACCTAATCCCTTTGAACCTTTTGATCCCTTTTTGCCTTTTGACTTACCCTTTGACTTCCCTTTTGAACCAGTCCTTGAAGGCGATTGGCTTCCGGAGGCTGAGGAGGAAGCAGCAAGTGGAAGTTGTTGACCACTAGCGACTGCAACCACAGGGAAAAATCCACGAGAAACCCGGAGTTGATTCAGTTGACGTTTACTGTCAGCGTATGCAGCATAGACTCGGTCAAACTCTTCGGTATCAAAAACCTCGTCATTTGCAGGCATGTCTTCAACTGTTGAGCCATAGTAAGTGGATTGCACATCATCCCATTCCTCTTCTTGCCAATAGAGTTCATCTCCATCATAGTCAATTGGGTTGCCATCATCATCATAGGCAGTGTCATCAGGGTATTCTCCATCATCTTCATAGTACACCTCGTCCTCAGCAAAGTGGGCACGGTCAGTTTTCCATCGACCACGCATGTTTT